GTGTTGGATATTTAACTGCCCCAGAAATATCTCCCTGTCCCTCTGTGAGCGTCTGACTCGTGATGGTATTTGAATGTGTGGCGGTGAAGGAGGTTTGGAAAGCTTGCAATGAGCCAGCAATACTTTTAAATAAATTCTAGAAGTATTGGGAGTTGCAATTTTCATGTGAATGCAACAAGCTGTGACAACCACTGAGACTTCTGCATTGGAGTAAACCCAAGGAGACTTGTTCACGCACATAAAATTGTGCATGTCCCCAGGATCCAGGCTGATGCATGATGTTGGGAATAATTTCTCCTGTGGTTTTTTTTTTTTTTAAAGCTGACTTTTAGATGTATTGATTCTAATGTTCAATCCAGTGGATGCAAGAGTCGCCTTTCTACACAGGACCAACACTGGCTGGTTTTTAAATGTTTCTGTAAATGTTTACATGGATGTTGATGCTTGTAGTGAGACTTGTTGTTCGAAGTGTTGATGTGTTTGGAGCGTTGCACTACTGCACGTGTAACCTGCCTTCAGCAGTTCCTCGGTGAGTGTATTGAAGCTCTGCAATTGTGCCTTTGTCTCGGGTGAGAGGCCAGGGCTTTGTGTTCCTGGAATTTTGCGTCGTAAGACCAAACAAAGTGTTCGATCCTTCGGTGGGGTGTTGTAACCGCACCTGCCCATTTTGTACAAAATTTATAAAAATAAAATATGAGCAAAAACTTGTGCATGTGTTCCTGTATCCTTCCCCTGTACGGGGTACAGCCAGGCAGCTCCATTCCCTGCAAGCTGCCTCTTGTAATTTTGCTTTTATTTACACTGTCTGCTCAAGTGGTGCTCCAGTGCTTTTTGAGGCTTTTTCCTTAATGGGACACCCCAATTTTGCAAACTTGCAATAAAAGGAGACTTAAAACTGAGTGAGAACATCAACATGGGGCTTCCATACATTGCTGTGCATTGATTTCATGGCTGTAGCAAACTTACATAAAGTCTCTTGGGGGTCCCTGTCAGGACAGTCCCTAGGCATGTGTATTAAGGTAATAATACCTAGCAAATTAAGGAGGTTCTTCACCATATGAGCTATAATAAGTCAGGGAAATGGTGTCTACACATTAAGGTTTCCTGCCTGGTGTGAGAACTGACAAAATACAGGAAGCCTGTACTGCAAGCATTTCATCCCTGCCAATAGGGCTAGGTAATAGGACCCATGCCCCAGTAAATTGGTTCTGAACCCCTGCTGTTTCAGGCTCAAAGATGACGAGCCTCAGAATGGTAGCTGGTCCTTTATTTGCTGCTGGTAGACAATTTTGGAAAGCTAGCATCTGAATGAATTGCCTCATTGTGCATCCAGCAAGGAGCAGAGCTGGGCTTAGAGTTACTCGGTTCTTGGCTTCCAGTTCCAAGCATGAGGCTAAAGCGTTCCTGTAAATACTCTGTTCAGGACCCACTTCGTTAATCAGCTCCAACCAGGGTGGGAATGGCATTTTTGAGATGATAAATTCAGGGCAGGAGAATGTCCTGGGAATGCCAGAGTGACCAAAATCCACCCTTTCAAAGGGCTGGTGGAAATGGAGGAGGCAAGTGGTAAGTACAGTGTTTCCCTATGAGCACAGCATTGTTCATGCCACTGCTCTGAAGCAGCTCCCCTTGAGACTGGACAAATCATCCCTCAGAAGTGATTCACTGCTAGGATTTCTCCTGTAGCACTTTTCAGTTTCCAAGCCTTGGCACTAGACTAAATAGGAGGCTGATATTTAAAACCAATGTTTCTTTTTTTTCCACCTATGCCTGGTTCCGTGCTGGATCATAAACTCCTGAGTGAGGAGGGACAGGAAGGCAGTTGACTGACAAATCTGAGTCTTGCCCATCTCTTCTCTGATCCTAGAAGGTAGCCTGGGGGCTCCACTCGCAGACGTGGATTAAGGCAGTTATAATGAGGATGGGGCTGAAGTCCTAACCTGCTGCTTCCATCTGCCTTGCACTGCAAGCTGTTAATCCCCAACATACTTATTCATGGGTAACTTTGCCAATGAGGGATATTAGGCCTCAGGGCTCCTTTGGCTCTTTTCCACCCCCCTCCCTTTGCTGTGGGAGCAGCAACTGCAGGGATGGCATGAAGTGAGTACAAGCTCTTACCAGAGCTAGACTCCCTCTTGCCTCTGGGCAGCAGGTGTGAAGAAGCAGCCAGCTTATGCCTGGGATGCTGCCTTGCTTCTAAAAGTGACTTGCACCCCCCTGGTTTGCCCTTGTGGAAGGGGGTTTGCATGGGGGATTTGGATCACTGATGCAAGGCCTTCCTGAGGTCTGGGGCCTGGGATCCTGCACCCTTTGCAGGCATCAAGCTCTGGGAGTGTAGTCGAGGGGCAATGCAAGAGGAGCTGCGCAGTGCTGTGTGCGCTCTTGTCGGTCTCCCTGGCACAGTACCGTAGGAAGGGGAAATGTAAGTAGAACCAGAAGGGGCCACAAACTTGCCTCCTCTAGTGCCACCCCATCTTTTGACCTCATGGGCCAGGTAAGTAGCAAGGGGCTAGTCTGTGCGCCAGGATTGGGCCCTGCATGGCCTCAGCTGACTTGTGTGCACTGGGATCGGGCCCTGGAGCCCCATGCACTGGGAATAGGCCCTGATCTAGCATGCAGGGGCTGGATCTGGGTGGGGGGCTGAACATCCCCTTCTAGTCTAATCCCCCACACATGTGCAGGAGTAGATATTCCTAAAGAATCTCAGAAGGGGAGTCGAGACTGGCCAAAGCCTCAGACTAATGTCCCTGGTTCAGACAGTCAGTCCACTGTTCCCAACTGAGCACCTCCAGCAAGAGCCGCTATATAAAAGTGAGGGGCTTCACTAGCATGAGGGGGCTTGGGGTCTATTCCCAGCTCTACCCTGACTGACTTTATCACCGCAGGCAAATCATTTCACCTGCTCCTGCCCCAGGCTTTACTTAAGCTTTTCAGATCAGTGACTGTTCTGTAATATGTGCATGTACAGCCCCCGGCACTAAGGAGCCCTTGTCTCCATTGGGCCCTGAGGCACCCCCGTTAGGCAGTAAACAATAAACTATTGCTATACTGGTCTTGCTGGTTTCTGATGAGCCCCTGTGGCCTTCCATTTATCCCCCTATTGCTTTTACTGATTCATTAAATGTCTTAAAAACATCTTGGATATTAAAGCAAAGTTTCCTTGTCTTCCCTCTTAGAAATAATTACAGCAAGTCCCACTATGAATTCAGCCATTCCTACTGGGATATGTTGCATCAAACCGTAGGCTTTGCCTTGCTGTTCTGTACCTGACTAGCTCTGATAGTGTTCATGCGCTGGTGTAATGAAAAGGGGTCTTTGCCCTCCTTATTCCTTAGCAGAGTCATTGCCCGTTGTCCCCTCCTGTTTCTCATGTAACTATTAATTGTCCTTGTGTTCCTTTTTGCTAATGCTATCTGTCTTGTTGCTGTAGCCCTGAACATTCATGCTTTAAAGCTTCTCTATAGAGATGTGCAACTTCTACAGTTTTACATAGCCCAGTCGAATCTATAGCTTGTGTTCAAAGCTATCCATCCTCTGGGAGCTGCTACAAGGATCGGTTCACTGGTTCTGTGGACAAGGCATCTGGGATGCAGGATGCCTGTGTTTGCTCTGGTCCCTGCTACTGACTTGCTGTTGTACAAGGTGCACTGCCTCTGTCTCTGCAAAGTGTAATAATGCCTATACTCCTATGATGCCTACCTCCCATTTAAGCAGCAGAACGATTTCACTGAGGTGCTGAAAACGGTTTCAGATCCACAAAGGGAGAGAGAAATGTTTATATGATCAGAAGGACCCTTGGGAAATCCTACAGGAATGTAACAATGCCCAGGGATATTGCAGTCTTGACTGCAAAGGAATTTTCGCCTCGGGTTTCAACCCACTAAATCCTTGCAGAAGAGAATGCACATACTGCCCTCACATGGCGAATCTCTGGAGAGCAAGCATGTGCTTTAAGAAACTTGATCATAGGAAATACCTACATCATACTGTTGTTATATAGTATATGCCTTATTGTGTGTTATGCATTGGGACCTATTGTGCTAGGTGCTGCACAGACAGCATAAGGCGAGCGCTCCTTTGGCCAATGCTCAAAGGGTGGCCAAAGGAAATGGTACAGAGACACACTCAAGGTTGCCCTCAAGCATGGAGGCATTGACATCAATGGCTGGGAGGAGCAAGCTGCTGACCATTCGACATAGTGCCACCTGGTTCATCAAGACGCATGCCATTTTGAGGCCCAATGACTCAATACTGAGGTGGAATGGCAGTGGTGGAGGAAGGTGAAGGAGACCAACCCAGGGCTGCAAATCCCACTCCCCCGTGCAACAACATGCCCCCATTGCCAAAGAACATACACATCCAGAATTGGGCTCCTCAGTCACCTGAGGACCCGTCAAGCCTGACGGACATCACCTCGACTTTGAGGGACTGCCAACAAGACAGAACAAGCCTGTAGCAAGGCTTTTGACACAGTCACCCATGACGGTCTCATTAGTAAGAGAAGGAAATACAATCTAGATGAAACTGCTATAAGGTGGATTCATAACAGGTCAGATCATCATGCTTAAAGAGTAGTCATCAATAGCTCAATGTCTAATTGGAAAGAGGTATCAAGTGGGATTCCCCAGGGGTCTGTCCTGGGCCCAGTATTGTCTAATATCTTCAGTAATGACTTGGAAGATGGGATTGAGTGCACTCTTAGAAATCTGTGGATGACACCAAATTGGATAGATTTGCCAACACTCTACAGGGTAGGGCAATGCTCCAGAATTAACACAATAAACTGCTGAAATCGTTTGAAATTAAGCAAATGAA